AGAGAGAGAGTGAGTGTGTGGTGTGTGTGGCCAGCTCAGCCCACCAGGGGGCGGGGCTGGCTGGCATGTGGTGCTGGGGGATTGAACCACGGTCCCTGATGCTTTGCTAAGCTTGTTCTAAGTAGGTGCCTTAGACCACTGAGCCATCTCTCCAGCCCTCAAACTAGTCTTGAACTCATGACAATCTTCCTGCCTCAGCCAGCCGGGCGCTAGAATTACAGATATGCACCACCATGCCCAGCTAAAACTTCTTAGATTGATATTTAATGTATACTATGAACAATCATTAAAGAGTATCCAAACTGTAAATATTTGACAATAGAAAAACTCAGCTATATTTGGAAGTGATTATAAGTACATGATATGCTAAAGTTGGCAAAAATTACAACTTAAATATCCAATAAGAGGACAGACAGAACCACTGACACAACTGTAATCTATTAAAATTATAATAACATATAGCACAAAGCATGAGAGAGGCATTTAGAGTTTTATACATATTTACTCACTGCCTATAAACACTTCATGTGGTATGAACTAGTACGATAAGGAAGTTAATACAGAGGTAAAGCAACTTACTACAAATTACATAACTGGTAGGAGATGGAGCAACAAATTGAACCCAAGCTAGCTGGCCTCAAAAAAGAAGAAAAACCAAAACACTGGCTACTCTCACAACACTAGATAAAATTTCTGCTTTAATGTTTATAATATTGCAACACATATATTTCCTCATTTTAGCTGAAAAGTATAGGATCTAGAATTAAATGATCTCAAGCGAATAAAAGAAAGAAAGATTGAGGATACAAAAATGTTAGTCTTTAGATGGCAAAAATATGAAGAATTCTTTTGGTACACTTGGTAAATAATGGCCATATATTATTTTGTTAACTTATAAACACCTTTTAAAAACACAAAGTTGGTAAAAAAAAAAAAGTCAAAAGCAGTATTTCCAATATAATTATTATACACATCAAATTGCATCTTGGAACTTCTGTGACTTACTCAGCAGAGCAAATGCTTAGTACAGAATTTAAGTGAACTAGTCTTATTACTTCAGCTTTAAAAATTTTTCTTTTCACAATAGATATTTACAGTGGCAATACCTCATTTTTCCAATCTAAAAAAGAAGACTTTTTCCTAGACTATGCCATGTTTATTGTGTATATAGTATTTATATATTTATAAGGTCCATAAGATTATTATCATCAATACCCTATAATTTATCACCCAATTATATATTGTTGATATTTATATTCTGTGAAAATGATGCAATTAAATTATACAACAGTAAATGGTAAAGAAATAGAGATGTATGTATACCTTTTCAATATGTTGGTTTTTATGATAATTAATATACTTGTTCAACCTGCTTTGACCATCTGAGATTAAAAAAGGATTTACCTATGAACAAAGACCAACTTAGCATCAGTAAATTAACTGTTAATAATAGATTTTAAAGGGTATACTAAGATAAATAAAACATGGTCTCTAAGCAATTTACAGGTCAGTAAGAAAGGGAAAAATGACAAATAAAACACCAACAACATATTATTGGAAAAAAAATTATATGGCATTGTCAATAATCTTATTAGCCTAATATGTAAATAACATACACCTAATAAACATGACAGAGTCAGAGTGACTATTTTTAAATTGGAAAGATGAAAAATAAATAAATTGGAAAGATGAGCTATTAGCACTGTGAGTTACAAGTATCTCACTAAACCATAAATGTTTTTCTCAAGTCTTAAGAGTTTGCCGAATTTAAATTGTAATTGCAACCAGACTAAAATCAAAGTTTAGGTCACTGGTTTTCTAAGGATAAAACTAACTACGGAAACCAATTATACCTGAGATTTTTGCTTTGGGGCTTCTACTCCTGGGAAGAGCTCCATCCACAGACTGAGCAGAGTAAAGAGGTTGACTTTAGAAAGCCTTGGTATTTGACCTATAAAAGGGAGGGTAAAGACTTTAGGATTTGAACCGTGATGAAAAACGGAGTCAGTTCGGTGCTGCAGCCTTAATTCGGTCGCTTTAGTAGAGGGAAGAGAAAATGGAATAGCAGACAAGAGAATCAAAGCTTTTTAGCGGCAGACTCTACAGTTTCCCTTGCGGTGACCTCCTGAGGCACTTTGCAAAGTTAGGCCCTTTTTCCAGCCTTCATCCGACAGAAAAAATAACACAGCTGAAGCATGTAGCTATGGAAACGACCCAAAGAACGTTGGGAAAAATCTTGGCATCTGACGTAGTGGTGGAGGACGCTTATCTTTGGTTTTGTTCAGGCGTTTCTACAAAGGCAGTGATTAGGAACACTACCGAAAAATGCTTCCACCGCGAAGCGTCCGTTGTCTTTAACTTAGAAATTAGGCAAAAGCATGACCTGGAGAACTGTGTAAGGTCTTTAACCTTTTAACCGAGATATCTGCTCTCGGTCACTCAAGGAATACTTTAGGGAAGTAAAGGGAGGCGGTGACCGCTTTAAGAGGTGGAGTAGCCGAGCGCGGTGGGTGGCGCCTGCCGGTAAACCCCACTTTTTGGGAGACTGAGGCAGGAAGATCATCAGTTCGAGCCCAGCTTTGGGCAATTTAGCAAGACGCCGATCAGTCAGCTTAGGAAAAAAGAAAAGAAAAGAAAAGAAGCTAGAGATATGGCATAGAGCGAAAGCTCGGGGTTGAACCCCAAGTACCGAGAAGGGGGTGGGGCAGGGCAGACATCACCTCTGAGGGGAGGTCACCGTGGCGGAGGCGGGGGTGTGCCCAATGCGGGGGATGAGACACGACGGAGCCGCGGAGCAGA